ATATGATGATAGTTTCATATCAAACGAATTGTCACAAGAGAGGCGAAAATGAAATGCATGTAGGCGTAAGCAACTTGTATTTACGCTCGTCGGCGCGCAACAAATATACAAATAATGATGCCATGGAATAACATTTCTCTCAAAAGTGGGGAAATTATATCTTGCTTAACTTATCATTAAGTTAATAATTACTGCCCAACTTTTATTTAATTCATATATGAACAAAAACCTTAAAGCAAGTTTAAGTGCGACTATCGAATTTGACTATATTTATAGCCTGATATTATCTGCGGATAAACACATGTAAAGTACATGATAACAATAAAGAACCTGGGGGTCTACTCTCGATCTCCGTTCGACGTCCGTCCGAAACAATTACTGCCTTATAAGCAATACTTGACCAAATGAAAAGACGCGTGATGAGAATGAAGCTTCATACTTGATACTTGTCTTTTAATTTTGTCGAATATTACTTATTTGACAGTAATTGTTTCGGACGTATGTCGGACGGAGATCGAGAGTAGACCCCAGAACCTGAAAGTTATTTATACACAACTATGGAGAACTGACAATGACTTTTTAGTCAGTGTTAATTCCCTGAAATGAGTTTAGTTAAGAACTTTTGACTCTGGGCAAGACAATATTTTAAAATGAGTCCTGTATGATGAACAAGAATAATAATTTTCACATGAAACTAATGAAGGTAAATACTAAATATATTCCGTAAAAATCGCTAACGTAAATTCCCTACAATGCCACGGTGTTTCGTGTAGAACAAGCTAGCTTGTCAATATTGACATTAACATTTCCCAGAAAGGTTGATTACGGTAAGTAGGATATTAGTTGCTAATCACATCGGTACGTATGATTTTTGCACTAATGACATAGATCATTAGTAATAAGCATATGTATATAAGATAACTAGAAAAAAAACATAAAATTAGATGCATTTTTGCTCTTGAGATGACAACGTCTCCCGAGTTGATTTTAAAAGTTGTGTTTATTTAAAGTAATGGATTCAGTAACCAAGGGTAAGTGTTATTTTTTAGTACCATTATATTCGAAAAGCAATAAGGCATTTAATAGGAAATGTCTCGCAAAGTTGTTAAAGTAACTTTTTTTTTACATTTTTCAAATTCAAAAGACTAAAAGTAAAAATCCCCTCTTCTCCCTGGATCGATATTTTTTCCTGTGATAGGTACAGTCTTCTAGTTTATTATTCAAGTGGAATTTCTTGCTCGAAAAGTGCCCTTTTTTATTATCTTTTTTTTTGCAGAAAGCAGTTTCACTGTCTCAAAGAGGGACTTTTTTGAAGAATGGGCGAAACACTCAAAAAATGAGCGTAACCAAGCTATGTATCATCATATATGCTTACTACATGATCTGAGTGGTATCACAGACCAGTCTGTGAGAATGATAAAGGAGACAATTTCGCATTTTTCCTCAAAATTATTGGAAAAATGGGAGAGTTCCAGAAGAATAAAATACCGCTTTCTAGCTACTTATGCAGAATGGCTAGAGGGCGAAGATATACATTTTGATGTGTCGCAAGAGATGGTGGGGGCATCCACTTCTTCCCAATTGCCACCTGGTGTGGGAAGACCATTGGCAGACTTGACAAACGCAAGTGCCAAAACAAAAAGACGACGTGTTGACGATTTGATCAAGAGTAGAAGTTCTGAAGAACTAACAGCGGCTGCTGAAATTTCTTCTCGGTTATCGGGAAAGAGGAACGTAGCCAAATTAATCAAAGGAGTCAGTGAAAGTACAGAAAAGTTCACTGATTTTCAAAAGTGTAGTGAACAACATAAGCAACAAAGGTCTTTGACAAGCGAGGAGGCTCTGGCGTACTATGTGGACTCCAAATCCACAAGTCATACAAACAGACACGGAAGTGGAGTATACTAGCTGGGCATCAGGTATTTCCATCATTTTATAGTCTTAGAAAAGCCAAACAAGCCTGTTTACCACCAAATGAACTAGTGACAATAACTGAAACGCGAACCGAAATTCAGCTGCAAGCCTTATTAGATAAGACTGCTCAGCGGTTAATATCAGCCCAACGTGAGGTTATTGACACTTGTTCTTCTGGTGGTGACTTATCATTCACTTTAGTTAGCAAGTGGGGTTGTGACGGAAGTTCTGGTCACAGCATATACAAACAAAAATTCGCCAATACACTTAGATGATACAGATGAATTTCTGTTTGTTTATTCACTTGTACCTATACAATTACAAGATCAAAGTGGTAACATTTTTTGGCAGAACCCTCGTCTATCGTCCACTATGTATTGTCGTCCAATAAAGTTTATGTTCATCAAAGAAACCAAAGAATTAACAGTGTCCGAGACAAATAAAGTACTGGAAGACATAAATGAACTATTGCCAACAATATGTAGTGTCCATGATGGTCTTGAAATTTCCGTCAAGCATTCACTACTTTTGACGATGATTGACGGTAAAGTCTGCAACGCTTTGACCGAAACTTCGTCAGCACAAAAATGTTATATTTGTGGAGCTACCCCAAAACAAACGAATGATGAGTCCAAGGAGTTCGTGGCTAACAAAGACAACCTGGGTTTTGGTTTATCGACATTGCATGCTTGGATTCGTTGTTTCGAATGTTTACTTCACATAAGCTATCGTATTGATGTAAAAAAATGGCAATTACGAGACGCAAACGATAAAGCTCTTGTGAAACAACGTTCTGCAGCGATTCAAGTACATTTTAAAGAAGAAATGGGCTTAAATGTAGGTAAACCAAAGCCGGGGTTTGGCAATACTAATGATGGGAATACTGCTCGTAGGTTTTTTGCAAATCCTGAGTTAAGTGCTGAAATTACAGGATTAGATGTGATTTTGATAAAGAATTTCGATATTTTGCTAAGGACACTTTCTTCCGGATATGACATAAATTTAGAAAAATTTCAACATCTAGCACAAGAGACAAGAAATCTCTATTTGAGTCTGTATTCGTGGTATTACATGCCTGCAACTGTACATAAAATACTTGTACATAGTGTAGAAATAATTCAATCGGCTCTTTTGCCAATCGGGCAGCTTTCTGAAGAAGCTCAGGAAGCTCGAAATAAAGATTGCAGAAGATTTCGAGCGGATAACACACGAAAATATTCACGTATAGCCACGAACACAGACTTACTTAATATGTTAATAATTACATCTGATCCTGTGATTAACAGCCTCTGAGATATTCCGCAAAAGAAGTCAGGTTCTCTTCCTCCCGGAGTCTTAGACTTCATTCTTTCAAGTCTTCCTAAAAGATTAGCTCCTGTTGAATCTAGCACTAGTCACACAGATTATAGTGTTGAAGATTCTTCTGAGGACGAGCTCAGCGATAACGAATGAGCTTATTTTCAGAATATACACAGTCAGGTCACTTATATTGTCACACAGTAAAAACTTTTCTTTTAGAATGCTGGCCACAAAAAAGTTTATTGAATTCGAATTTCGAATTGTTCATGAAAATAAAAATGTATACTTTTTAGAATTTTACTCATTTTTAAATATGGAGTGGGCGCTTAAAGAAGACCGTGTTGCAGTTATTGCATTGCATCGTTGCGGTTACGCGCCAATTCAAATTTTTGACATACTGAAAAATTTTAATATAACCAAAAGATTCGTTTATCGTACCATCAAACGATACAATGAAGACTCTAGTGTAGATGACAGGTCAAGAAGTGGTCGCCCTCGGTCTGTTAGGACTCCAGCAGTGATAAAAGCTGTGAAGGCGCGAATTCAAAGAAATCCCAAACGTAAGCAGAAACTGTTGGCCCTTCAGATGGGGTTAAGCAGAACCACGGTGAAAAGGGTGTTAAATGAAGACTTAGGGCTTCGGGCATATCGAAGAAAAACAGGACATCGTTTGAATGCTCGTCTAATGGACCTGAGACTGAAGAGATGCCGCGCTTTGTTGAAGCGGTACGCGGGAAAAAAATATCGGGAAATTCTTTTTTCAGATGAAAAAATTTTTACCGTAGAAGAGAGCTACAACAAACAAAATGATAAGGTGTACGCACACAGTAGTGAAGAAGCGAGCAACCGTATCCCACGTGTCCAACGAGGTCATTTTTCATCCTCGCTCATGGTATGGTTGGGAGTCTCTTATTGGGGCCTTAACAGAGGTACATTTTTGTGAGAAAGGTGTAAAAACGAATGCAGTTGTGTATCAAAATACAGTCCTGACGAACCTTGTGGAACCTGTTTCTCATACCATGTTCAATAACAGGCACTGGGTATTCCAACAAGATTCGGCGCCAGCTCATAGAGCGAAGAGCACACAAGACTGGCAGGCGGCGCGTGAAATCGACTTCATCCGGCACGAAGACTGGCCCTCCTCCAGTCCAGATTTGAATCCGTTAGATTACAAGATATGGCAACACTTGGAGGAAAAGGCGTGCTCAAAGCCTCATCCCAATTTGGAGTCACTCAAGACATCCTTGATTAAGGCAGCCGCCGATATTGACATGGACCTCGTTCGTGCTGCGATAGACAACTGGCCGCGCAGATTGAAAGCCTGTATTCAAAATCACGGAGGTCATTTTGAATAAACATTAGTGTCATAAGAATCTATGTTTCGTTAAGTTCATTTTGGTATATAAATGGTTACATAATGAATAAACTTGTTTCAATTATTTTATATTAAACATGTGACAGAATTTATGACCTGACTAGGTAGGTAATTAAGAAATGTTCAAATAATAGATAAGTTGTTTGTAATATATTAGTTAATTAGTTATAATTTAGTAAGTCATTTGGTTAATTATGTACACATTGTGCTAATTTATATTTATTGTAAGATAATCTATTGGTTATAATAACTTTGTGTTTTTTTCTATTTATTTCCTAAATAAAATATTATGTTCCTTCTAATACGCATTTCAATGTCTAAAGTACCTGTTTTAGTAGATTCTGGAGATTTTTAACAGTAGAAATGTTGATAGTTGCACTTAGCAGAGGCATTCGAAACGAATTGCAACCGAAAATAATTTTGTCCAGATAGCTTGTTCTACACGAAACAGAAATGTTGTGGCGGCGGTGTACATTTGTAGAAATTTTGCAACTGTCGCTATATTGCCTCTACTCAAAAAATTACGTAATATAATTATTTTGAAACAGAATAGCCAAATGGGGAGAAAGTAATCCGTTACTTTGCAAGATTTTCGTATCTTGTTGCAACGAAATTAATTTTCTGCTATATTGAATATTTACATAAAAATACAAGTTAAACGCGTTACTTCTTGTGGAATGTGACATTTTATGTTTGTCTGATGTATTTTTACATTCATTTACCGTACATTTCGTAACTTTTAGCTAAAATTCTTGAGCTGTTCGCGGTGCGAGTTGACCTTGATCACTGGCGGCCCGCCCGCTCGTGTAAGCCTATTTGGGTCCCTACAATTTACCTCACTTAGCGTGTGCGGACTAGGTTTCTATGCGTTATTATATTATTCTAAGTTATTATATCATTAAGCGCCCAGTTACACGAGGCGAAAGATTTCACGCGGACGGACGGACGCCCATTTACTGATTTCTATTTACTAGGCAAAAATTTATCTGAATAATACAACCACGCGGCCGCCGAGTAGGCGCTCATTTTAGTTAAAACGTAAATGCTAAACAAATAGAGCGTATTTTGCCATGATAGTTAGACACACGCGGTCGCTGCGCGGCGGACTCCGTTCGGGAACCGCGCGACGACCTTTAATCGTTACTGAACATGTCAGCCCCGTTAGAAAAACAATGCCTCAAGAAAACACGTACTTGTGTATTACATTACAATTTATATAATATCTATTCATTAGTAACAGGTATAATTTGGAATTATGTGCTTGTAATGCCAGACTAACAGGGTGTAACATTAAGATGGTCTTTTTTGTTGAAATCCATAATTACCTACACGATGAAACTATGTGGACGAACTAAGAATATGTACATATAGAAGTGAAATAGTAATGTTTGTTAAGTAATGACTAGTGTGTTATACGATTTGTTCAGTCGTGCAGAAACGTGTTTTAATATTCATCACCAGACCAGTCTGGTACCTTGTACAGTTAAAATTATCGTAGTTAAGTGACTATGGAGTTGTTTAAGTCCTGCACCATTTTGAGCTTCTGAGTTATCGTATATATCGTTATTTTATTGATTTGCTTCCTGTTGTTGTATAGTCTTATTATTAATACTCGATGGCAATGTGACAGACACTATATACGTTTTTTTAATTGATTAGCGTAGGTGGCGTGTATAGTATTATGGGAGGTGGATTAGTGTTATTCGCTACCACCAATCGCTTTGATGCGGCACTCCAAATCCTAATATAATCTCATTGGAAATAAAAATCTTTTGTCAAACAAATCAACGTTTCGGACTCTTTACAGGTCCCATTGTCACGGCTGACAGTTGAAGATCTCAGTATTGTTAACGATGTCCATTGTCACCACGCATCGGTCATCGCCTATGTCCTTTTTGTCAACGCTAACTCTGTAAACTTAAATACTACTTACCTAAACGATAAAAGTAATTGGAAATGAAACTATTTTGTCGGATCAAAATCGCGTATATATATTTTTTTTTTTTTCAAATAACCCAGCGTGTCGGACTTTTTTCAGGTCCCAGTGTCGCGACTGACTTAGTCTTTTTACACGATTTATCGCGAAATCTCAAGAACACGATATAAAAACCATTGTCATGGAAAACCATAGCGCTGCTCTGGAATACCATATTAATAAATTACGAGAAACTAGTCTGAGCTTACGTAAGTAATCCACTATTTGTAATTTCTCTGGCATAAAACAAACCTATAGGCAAAAGGATTACGTATCTTTTATATTTTAGTCTTTTTTTTATGATACCTACTAAGTGATGGGACGAACAAGTCGTGCACCTGATGGTAAACGACACATCTGTCCATAACAGTTGCAGTGCCACTCAGAGCTTTACTGTACGCTATAGGTAGCCGTATCGTAAATAATAAAATGGAGCGAGGGATCACGATTCCCAGAGAGGTAATGATTAGGACGATAAAAGTAAGCCATGTCCGTGTCTTACCTAATTAAACCACAAACAAACCACAGCTGAGAATGAAGATTGGTTTAGGTTCAATATACATTGGCGCGGAATGGAATAGAAGCGAGTTTTTTTGTAGTACATAGCTTAACCCACCCTGAGACATAAGTTGAATAGCCCCATGTGCCTGAAATTCACCAGCACCATTACCTTTCTAAACCGGAACGCAGTAATGCTCACATTACTGCTTGGCGGCAGAAATAGGTATGTCTCAATATATTTAAATCCAAATTTCATTCTACAGGATTCCGACCTTGACATAAAGTTGTCGTGTTGGCTGTAGTCGCTAGTATCGATCGCCTTTGCTAGCCAACTCGTCAGCGCCTACACTCGCACCACGTTTCTATGTGTGAGGTTAATTTCTCCGTTCGTCCGGCTACAGTTAATTTTATCTTATAAAAATAATCTTATCAATCAAGTATACAATTGTATTTATTGAGATTTTTTTGTGAAATAACTCCACAGATTTTTTTTCGGTGGGACGACGAATACCGAAAAGTCAGTACAAAGATCAATAACAAAAAACACATAAGGAGAATTTCGACGACTCGATATCTGACCCGTGGCTCAGATGATTAGAGTAATGTTACGGTGAAGCATGGACGTGGCTTCATGTCCCACCGGGTCGACGAAAAATTTTTCTGTGTGTTCGATCTTTGTATTCATAATCAAGTGTACAGTTTTTTTATTTCTCCGCATTTTATTTTCTTCTTTGCAACAGATGGCAGATAACGTAATTTTGTAGAGCTTGATGTGTGACCTAGATTGTCGACGGAGCCTTAAAATGACAATATATCCAGAGCCTTACTTCATAACGAAGTTAAAAGATATTAATCGATCTTAGAAAGTTTGTTTTTAGCTGATTAGATATAAATAAAGCCTCCTCGTCGCGTTGTATTCCTCAATACTGAGGGTCTCCCCGCGGAAACAGTTTATGGATGGAGCATGAGTCCCCATGAAGCGCTCCACTATGCCTATAGTGGAGCGCTTTATGGGGACTCATGCCGAGAGCCGGGCCATTTTGTAGGGCAGCGAGTCCTGAGACGTTTACCGTTAATCCGTCCGGTAACTATTGACTGTTCCATGTTGTGCCCTTGTTTCTCCTCTGCTCCCATAGAATAAAATCAATGTTCCCGAATACTACAAATAAAATTACTATGAGTTTTTTATATACATATTTTTAATAATATTGGTTTCCTTAGGAAAAATCCAGTAAGTAGTGTTCTAATTTTAAAATCTAAATTAAAAAATATATTATTAGGATAGTTAGTAGAAGTTAAGTCTAAGTTTAGTTATATTAATTATATTAGTTGTTTGTTGTTTTTATTGTGCGCTATTAATTCATTAATTAAGAATTAACATATAATGTGTGAGAGCGTGCTCGCCAACAAAATGTTTCCAGTTTCGCGGGAGCTGTACTGTTGTAAATGTATAAACTTTTTTTGAATAAATGAATTAAAAAAAATATATATTTTACCACAACATTTAATTACAGGTGCAGTCTTTAATCTTTATTTTCTAGTATCGATGTCACAATTCTTTATTTAACTTTTCAATCATCTAGGACACAGTCAGAAACAGCCGTAGCCAAGTTTAGTAGGTACGCTTGGCTCCTATTTGGAGGGTCTTGGGTCAATGGTCGGTCAAACGCTCAATAGTCGGATGACCGTTGAGCGTTTTCTAGTCAAAATAAAGTTAAATGTTAAAAGAAAACATTGTCATCACAATAATAATAATAATAATAATAATAATAACGCACACACTCAACATAGCCCCGCACTAGGGAAACCCTGTGTCGCGGGTGCCATGGACACACATAGACAACCACAAATTACACCCAAACTCACGAGAGAAATAAATGTAGGCCATACAAATATTTCCCCCGGCCCGGGAATCGAACCTGGGACCTCTGCGTGGCAGTCCGGCATGGTAACCGTTCGGCCACAGAGACAATGTATGCATGTTGTGGAAGGTTCATAGGTTTGTAAGGTTCCCAACCTGCATACGGCAAGGATTGCGAACAATACAGTATATTATATATAGGTATATATATATTATATATATATATATATATATATATATATATATATATACATACACTAAAGGCTCAATTTATATTGCTGCGATGTTCAACGGAATGGAATTCAACGGAACGGAAACAATTGTTACGAAATAGTAACATAATTAACTTTAAAATATTTCAATATGAGCCAAAAAAACAGTTCGCGCATCTTGCAAAGAATTCTTGCGAAGTCTCGAGACTTCCCGCAGCTACCATCTCGTGAATAGCTTTTATGTTACTCGATTGACTTAAAGTTCATTAAGCTATGTACTACAAAAAAAAACTCGCTTCTATTCCATTCCGCGCCAATGTATATTGAACCTAAACCAAACTTCATACTCAGCTGTG